GACAGATTTATGGCTCTCACCTCTGTCTCCCTTCCACTTGCCACAGCTGCACCTCCCAGCTTCCTGCCTGGGGCCCCCACTCCACCAGGCCCTCTCCCTGGAGGACAGACTCTTCTGGCTCCTGCTTCACTGAGGCCTTCAGGCCTGATCTTCCTCACATGCCCTGGCCCCACAGGAGTCCCCCTACCCAGCCCCCCCCAAGCGGGTGCTGTCTCTCCCTAGTCTCTGCTCAGTGCCTTGTCTCTAGCACCCTGCTACCTCCTCTCTTTCACATGGCTTTGGGCTTTAGGTCCTCTCCAAAAACAAAACCCCAAAGCCTCCAATTTGCCTCCTGCCCCAGCTGCCACCCAAGGACCCCAGAAGAGGTTGCCTACACGGTGTCCATGTGCACCCCTGCTCCTGCCTCCCCCTCCCCCTGGGGAACCACCCTCAGTCCCCAGCTGTTGACTCCAATGATTCAGGCCTGATGCTCCTGGCCTGCCCCCTTCTCCCCTTCTCTGACCAGTTTTTCTCTGACTTTCCTGGGCTCCATCCCCTGTGGGGTTTTCTGCTGCATCCTTGGGAACCACATTCCCTCCCTGGGGCTGGTCCCCTCTTACCCCAAAGCAGGCCCAGACCCCTCCAATTCTCTACCTCCCTTATCCCACATATAATCAGTAGCTTGTCTCTTTCCCTCTAAATGTTCTTGACCCGCCCACAACCACCCCTGGGGCCCAGACTCACAGCCTCATCTCTCCCTGTCATCCAGACTCTCAGAAGAGGCCCCAGCTGCTCTTCCTGCCTCCGTCTTCTCCCAAGGGCGATCAGGGTGAGCTCTGAGAAGCCAAACTGACACTGTCTCCTGCTTAGACCCTCCCAATATGCCTCTCTGCTTGCAGAACAGAAGTCAAACTATGACAAAGACCTGAGGGACAGGTCCTCCTGCGTACCTCTCCTGCCATGGGCTCTCTTGACCTTTCCACCTGGGTACTATGGGGACAGATGTGGCCTCCTCCACACACACCATGCTACCTTGGGCCTCGCTGACTGAGCACTTTAGTCCTCATGGCCTTTGAGGGGTCACCATTTTCATCTCCATTTCACTCACGGGGACACTGAGGCAGAGAGAGGGGAGGTGACTGGGCCAGCCCAAGCTTCACATCCCAAGTGCCCTACATCCTGCATTGCCTCCACTCTGTGTAAGTGACTTTGTTACCACCTTCCTGTCCACACCCCATTCAACACACACTTACCCAGTCCCACCATCCTTTAAGGCCAGCCAGGGTTCGGATGCACTTCTTGCCCCAGTACCTGCCATCACCTGCTTCCATGGACGATGCTGTGCTTCCCACTAGGGGAGTCAGGCAGGCTTCTCAGAGGGTCCTTGGAAGATGGAGGAAATTCCAAGGCTGGCAGAGGATTCCACGCTGGCAGAGGCAGAGAGGCAGGAAAGCAGCATGTATTGTGAGTTCGGCTGAGCCTCCCAGCCCCACCAGCAAAAGGATGGAGCAGCATCTGCCTAATGCTCCATGATGTTCCCCCCACCCTTCCCACCCTCCCCACCCTGCCCTCACCAGCACCTAGCACAGTGCCTGCATATAATGGGTGCACCGTAAGGATTTGTTGGAAGCAAATCTCATGGGTGTGAAGTCATACAATTTGGTGGCCCTGTTTAAGAAAAAGAATGCAAGATTCCTGCTATAAATATAGGCATAAAAGCAAATAGTTATTTGCAATGAAGTTGACTACAAAGGAGCTGTGGAACAGAGCTGTGGCTGCAGTGGCTTCACTGTTAAGCCTCCTGGGGTCAGAAGGATATAAGGAGGATGGGAGGCTCAGGGAGTGCCAAGGCACGAGGCTGACCTGACCTGACAAGGTTAGCTTCTTTGGTCAAAGACACCCTGGTTCAGAACCTGCCTCCGAGCCCTCAATCACCCTCCCAGACAAACTGCCATGACCATGAATCTGTCATGCTTTGTGGAACTCTCTGGTGGCAAAAAGGTCTGATATTCCCATGTCAGGAGACTTTCTCTTCCTGGGAGAGTAGCCAGAGGGCGAATGTGGGTGTCTGAGAACTGTTTACCAGTCACCTCATGGTGACCTTGGGCACTCTTCTCCTGGGCCCCAGGGTTGATGGAGGGGCTATTCTGAAAGCCTCCTTTTCATTCTGGCATTCTACTCATCTGACCCGCCTAGGAAGCTCTCCCAGTAGGGGCGGCCAGAGAACTGTGCTCTGAGAGCCTTATTCATTGCCCAGTGTTGAGGTCTTAGAGGGGCCTGCTCCTCTGCTGGGTGTGGGTGGGTGGGTGGGGGCGCATTGTCATGGAGGTGCTCCCAGCCCAGTGGGGCCAACTAGACACGAAATACATAATTACAGCACCTTCAGGCCAACATCTCAAAGACCCAAGGCAGCAAGGCAGACTTCTGGGGGTCCAGGAAGGCTTCTCAGTGAGGAGACACTGGATTTGAGAAATGGAGCACTGATTCAGCAGTTACTTCCTGAGCACCTTCTACATGGCAGGCTCTGTGCTAGACTCTAAGGATACAGCAGTAAAGAGGACAGACGGGCATTTGCTTCAACATTTCTTCTCTCCATCCAGCAGGAAATAGAAATTATTCAGGAGGGAATGGGAACATGGGGTCCCAGGCAAGGAGAACAGAAAGAGCAACCCCATGGACGGGACAGACTGCACCCTGCTTGTGGATAGAGCTGCGAGAAGTTTGGTACAGGGGAGACGGAAGTGATTGGGAGAGAAGGCCGGTGAGATTGGCAGAGAGCGATAATGGAAGGCCTGGAACACCAGACTAGGGATTTAGGACTTGATCACGCTAGCAACTGGGAGCCACAGAAGGTTCTGAGTGGAGGGAGCAGTCAAAGATTTCTTAGCAAAATAGACTCTTCTCAGTCCTCCTGCCACAGCCACCAGTGTGAGCTTCCCAAGGCCCACCTCCCGACCCAAGCCCTGGATTTGGCTAAGAGAGGGCGCCCCCTCCCACCAGTCTGGACTACAACCTCCAGCTCACCCTCTTCCTTGTTCTTCCAACCAGACTGTCAGGCTGATGCACAACCCAAAAGGGGGTGTGGCAGGGTCTCTGGGTCCAGACCTCATTGAGGACTCCAATCCTTCACTGTGAGGCCCCCATAGCCCTCCCGTGGGCTTTACATGCTTTCATACTACCTGGTTTCCCTACAAAGTGCCTCCCAACATGCCTGGCTGAAAAACTTCCAGGGCATCTGTCTGACAGCCAGTGAGTCCAGACTGGGGCCTCAGAATAATCCTGCTGGGTTTGGGATCCTGAGCAAGACCCCAACAGTCCTTGACCCTTGGAATAAAGTCTGAACTCTGTTCTGTCTGGCCCGACCACACTCTTCTCTTCCCATCAGTTCTGCTGTTCCTTCCCTGGGAGTTCTAGCTACCCTGAACTTCTCTGGATTCTTCAACAAATAAACACTCTCCCTCACCTCCAGGGTTTTGTGCAGGCCGGCCTCTCTGCCCAGAGCACTGTCTATTCCCTGAGGTTCCCTCCTAACCTAGCTAACCCCTACTTCTGGCCTGAGCCTGCCTGTTACCTCTCCTAATCCTCCAGAATAGGCCAGGGGTCCCCAGAGGTCTTCTTTCAGACTCCATGCCTTTGCATATGCAGTCTCTTCTGCCAGGAATACCCTTCTGTCCATCGTGTGAAGTCTGGTGCCAGCCCAGTCCATACCAAGTAGCAGCACATCTTTATATCTCTTTTACAGATGAAGAATTAGAGGGTCAGAAAGGTCAAGTAACCCCAAAGCCACACAGCTCTGCCCTAGAAAGTGATAGTGATGAGTGGATAGAATCCGTGCCAGGAATGGTCTTGGGAACATCGCTTGGCCTGTTTGGGCTTGGGTGTCCTCATCAGTGATATGGGGTACCTATTGTGTAAGGTGCTGTGAGGCTTACAGAAAAGCTCTATCGTGCAGCCTCCGTTCCTTTGCTCCCCAGACCAATTAGTGGCTTTCACATGAACCCAGGAGCACGTCAACACTCATTCATTCATACATCAAAACCCTCCAACGCCTGCCCTGTGCCCTGCCCTGTGCCCTGCCCTCTGCAGCCGGCTGGGGACTCTGGGAGATAATCAAACACAGCTCCAGCCCCCAGGCGCGGGGGGAGGGCGAGGGAGGGGAGGGCCTGGAGCAGACCGCAGATTCGTCATTACTCAAGGAGAGTGTGTGTCTGTCTGCGTGAGTTAGCCTCACACGCTGCTTTTGACTTAGTCTTCCTAAAACTGACGACTCTCCTTCCCGCGGGAAATGCTGAAGAATGATCTGCTCTGAAAGAAAAGAAAAGAGAGAGAGAGAAAAGAGAAAAGATCCGTTCTTTCTTTTCAAAAACTTGTTTTTCACTGCTTCCTGAAATCTGAGGATTTCACAGCTTCCAACGTTCACCTCCGCGCCCTGAGCCCTAGAAACTGGGGAGGGGCGAAGAGCAGCGCGAGCGAGGGCGGTGCCGCACCGCCCGGGGAGCCCCCTGCCCCTGGGAGACTCCCCGCCCCCCCATAAGCCCCGCACCTCCACCCGCTTCTCTTCCTACCCCAAGCCCCGTCCCTCCCTCCGGACTCCCCGCTCCCCACCCCTCGGCAGCCCCCGCGCTCGCACCCCACACGGACCGGTCGTCACCGCCTCTCCCTCCATCCGGGGCCCCGGGGACCGCGGCCCCGCGGCCCCGCGGCCCCGCGGCCCCGGCCGCACTCCCCGAAAGCCCGCACCCGCCCATTGTCCTCCCCCGCCCGCCCCGCCCCGCCCTCCCCGGCTGGGCCCCGGGGCCGCCCAGCGCCGCTCTTTCCTCGCCCTCCCATTGGCTCCTGCGGCCCGGCCGCGCGGGGCGGGGGGCGGGGCTCCGGGCGTGCCCGCCCCCTGCCCGGGCCGGGGCGGGGCCTCGGCGGACTCCGCCCCCTCGGCCGGGGCCCCGCGGGGCTGGCGCTCCGGCGCTGGGCGGCGCTGCCTCGGCTGGGCTCGGCTCCGGCAGCGGCTGCAGCTCCGGTGGGGGTGGGCGGCGGGGATGACAGCAGCGGAGGCGGCGGCGGCGGCCGCGCGGGGCTGAGCGAGCCGCGGGCGAGCCGGGGGAAGAGGAGGAAGTGGAGCCGCGGCCCGAAGCTCCGGAGTCCGCCCCTTTGTGCGGAGCGAGCCGAGTCCGGAGCTGGGAAGACTTCCCCGCCGCCGCCGCGAGCGTCCTCGCCGGCGCCCTGCCTTGCCCCGCCCCGCCCCGCCTGCCCCAGCCGGGGGCTCTGCGCCGGGACGCTCCCGGGAACCGTGGCCCGGACGCCCGGAGCCCCGACCTGACCCAGTGCAGCGGCGCGGGACGCTCCCGGCCCACCCTACGCTCCACGGCTGCGGGCGCGCTCCTAGGCTTTCTGCAGTGTGAGTCGGAGCCCCCGCCCGAGACCCGGGTGAGGCAGGTGCCCACCGCCCCCGCTGAGCCCGAGGGAGCGCAGAAGCCCCCAGCCCCGGCTCCCGAGACTGACCCTTCGGCTGCCTTGGCCCCGGTGCCTCGGACTTGGGACCGTGCGGACGCCCAGGAAGCGCCGGCCCGGGTCCAGAGCCCGCGAGGAGTCGCAGGCGGGCCGGGCAGGCGGGCTGCGCCGGACCGAGCTGGTGCTGCGAGCCCAAGCTGCCGCCTTTCCGCCGCCTCGGGCGAGGGGCTCGGCGCTCGCCCCGAAGCAGGGAGCACGGGGCTCCCCGCTGGCCCGGCGGCCGGCGAGAGCCGAGAGCTGCAGGTGAGAGGGCCCCGGATGCCGGGCCAGGGCGGCCTTCGACCCCAGCCGGGCAGCGCCGGGCCAGGCGCGGGCGATCCGGTCACCAGCCGGGGCTGGCGCTGGCTGGGAGAGGGCGCGGGAAGGCGGGGGAAGGGAGAAAACGCGCACTTATTGAGCGCCCATTGTGTGCGGGTCCGCGCCCCACCCTTGCGCAAATGGTCCCTCATTTGCCGCTCACTGTACTCGGTGGGATGGAAAGGTGTCGTGCTCTGCAGGGGCTCCTGCAGGCGGGGGGGCTGGGGCTCAGCGGGGTTGACGGACCCTGCGCTCTTCACTCTGAGGCTGAGACTGGGTAGGAGGGTTGGGGGGAGAGGGAAAGGAGCAGAGAACCGAGAGAGAAAGGAAGTGGATAGCCGCCAGGCTGGAGGCGACGGGGAGGGGTCAAGGTGGGGCCACCGGGGCATCCGAGAGCTGATCCTGAGGCAGGGGAGGATCTCTTTCCCTCCCACTCCATGGCCAAGTCACGTCCCAGGAAAGGTGACCCAGAGTGAGGGCAGAGGTGGGAAGCTTCCCTCCTTGTGGACCCCGCACCAGGGAGCAGGGACTCCTTGCCCCTGTGTGCCACACTTAGGGTCCCTAAGACACCGTGGCATCCTGAGATGCTGCTTACTTGTTGAGAAAACTCACTCTAGAGGTCCCCAAGTCAGAGTCCATCAGAGCTGGGGAGGTGAAGCTTCTCAGCACTCACCAGCTACCCATCCTTCACATTATTAATGGGATACTGGAGGCTGGGAGTGGGGGCGGGGGTGCCACTTATCCTAGGGCCTGAAGTAAGTGAGCGGTTGAGGCAGAAAGTACACTTTAGAAAACCTTCCCAAACATCCTTCAAGGTATCCACTCCCGGTTAGCATCTTTGGGGTGGGTGGCTGGGGCTTTCCCACCCCTAATGTGAGGTCAGGGTGACCACTTATGAGGCTGCTTTGATAGTCTGTGTGATTGTTGCTGGGGCCCGAGACAAGCCCACAGCCTCGTTGCCTTTGGCCCAGACTGAAGGTCCAGCCTCAGCTTCTCCTGGGCGGAGGAACCTGCCAGACACCTCTGGGCCAGGAGGGGAGGGGCTTGCTCAAGGTCTTCCAGCTGGGGCTGTCAGAACTGGGGGCACAGTGCCAGGTGTCTGGATTCACAGGCAGGGGCTCCTTCTGTTGCCCCCCTGGGGCCGTGCAAAAGAGGGGTGTTGTGAAAGATAGTTGGCATGAACTCTGGGTTCTTGTTCTGAGGGGGGGAGGGGATGTGGCCTTGGTCTGAGGTCCTGTGGCCTTGGCTGTGACTAGTTAACCCCTGCCATGCCCAGCTTCCTGGAGTCAAGGGGAAACCACCTTGGAAAGCCCCTGGGAGGTGGAGGAGGGTAGGGTAGAGAGGTCAGCTGAAGGCTGAAGCTCAGTCCCCAGGGCTGGAGGGGTTGGGGGGGCACCAGAAGAGAGAGGTACCTGAGGGGCTTGGGATTCCCCCCCAACACCCATTGGTGAGGATTCAGATTCTCGTAATAATCCCTGCATCTAAACAAAGCTCCTCTTTGGTAAGATGATTTCACACCTGTGATCTCATTTCATGATGTGGTAGAAAGAACCTAGAGTGAGGCAGAATGGGGTTGGGGAAGGCACCTGGGACCTCTCAGATGCACCCGTGGCTCCAAGCCTCACTTGTAAAATGGGGTAAGGGCAGGCTCGCTCTGTCTTACCTGCTCAGATAGATAATGGGGCCATCACACCTGGCAAACTGTCAAGTGCTCAGGAGATTTCCGTGTTTGCCAAGACTGAGCTTGTTACCAATGGCTACCACGTGTGGGATACTGAGACTTGGAGCAATGAAGCCACTTGCCCAGGGCCTTTGAGTTTGCTTCAGGAACTGGGTGTCCACTTCCACCAGGTGCTCTGGAAGTTACCCAGATGGAAAAGACAGTGGGGCGACTAGGTCCCAACTGGGTGGGCTAAACAGCACTAAGTCAGACCAGGCAGACGTGGAACTGCTCTGCCTCCCACTTGCCATGTGGCACTGGGCTGAGCACTTCACTCCTCAGAGCCCCGACTCCTCTGTGAATCAGAATTTCTCCTTTATAAGGTTGTTATGAGGATGAAATGAGATATAAATATATATTGCTTTGCCAAATACTTATTTCCTTCCCTATAAAGAAAGGAAGCTTGAATTTTGACCAGGAAATTCTCAGGCTTGCCTTAGATTAGAAGGCTCTATTGCAGGCTCACAGACTTGGGTTTGCCCAGCTGGGACTCTTGAATGGGTCATGTTCCCCTGGCTGCTTCCCTGTTTCACAGCCTTCTAGAATCTGTTTGGGGACCCTGGTAAAGGACTCTAGCTTCTGACCCCCTAACCCCAGGGCTGTTGGCTTCTGGGGTTGGGGGGAGCTGGTGTTCATTCCCTCTGGCCCATTGTCTGGCCTCCCTAGCCACAAAGGTGTGGTGAATAATTTATGGTTCCCCTCACTAGGGGAGCAAGTAGGCAGTCTCAGGGAAATTGCTCTGTGCTCAGCAGGGCTTCTGACCCCCCACCCCCCCAGAGCAAGTGGGTGGTTCTTATCAGAGCTATAAGAAATCTTGGATGTGGGGGGAGGGGAACAGGTCAGGAAAAAAGGGACCTGTCATCAACACTGGCTCTTTTCCTGTTGGAGGTGGGGGCAAGGTGGACCCACAGGAAATGGTCGAAACCAAGCTAGATGAGTGAGGATCAACCCGCGGACCTCTGATTCCAAATGGGCAGTGGGAGCCAGCAGGGAGAGGCCATTGAGGACTGGAATAACCCAGAAGGCTTCATCAAGGAGGAAAGCTTCCGGCTGGGATGAAAGGCAATTTGCTATAGAGAGTAGGGGGTCCTGACGTTAGTTCAAGATTGAATCCTGACTGTGCTACTTACTGTGAGATGGTGAGCACGACATCTGTTTCCTCCTCTGTAAAATAAGTGTAGCTGTGGGTCATGTATGTAAAGCACATGGCACAATGGGTACTTGGTGAAGGGGTGCCTCATTGTGAACATGGGGTGGGCTAGTAGCTGGACAGATGAGATGGTGTAGTAAGAGAGGCAGGGGGATCTCTGGGGTAGTAATACTGGGGTTTGTGGGCTCAGCAAAGGGATGTGGAGGAGAGGTAGAGGGCCTTGAGTCTAAGATAGAACTCACATCTCAGAAAGCATTATGGAATCCCCATCTTCATCTTGCCTGTAAGATGAACACCAGGCCCCTTTGTTGCACATTCAAGGCCTTGCCCAGTACAGCCACTGCCTGGACGTCTGGCTTATTGCTCATCACTGTCTCCTAAGCATACCACGTAGAGCCCCATCACTGCCCCTCCATGCATCTTTGCTCACCTCCTTGTCTATCTAGGCCCAATTCAGGTCCTAATTTCCCCCAGAAGCAGTCCTAGATTAACTACCTCACCCTCTGGTCACTCTCCTCTGAATTTTTAACACTCATAGTAATAAAGAATACCTGCCACTGCATCACATTTTACAGTCAGTGGAATGTATCTCCATACTCACTGTGTGGCCGATATCAACAATAGCTAATGCCCTTGAATACTTAGGAGCCACTGTGCTGAGCACTTTTATAGACACTCTCGTTCACAACTCTGGGAGAGGTAGCTGCTGTTATCACCCAGAAACTGGGCTCAGAGAGGTACATTGTCTTGATCAAGGTCACACAGATAGCAGGGAATGAGGAATCAAGCTCCTATCTGCCACTGAACAGACGTCCTGTCTCCTCACCTCTACCCAATTACCGCATGTAAAAAGCCTAGAAATGAGCCTTCTTTTCAAGGCTAAGGAAGGGCCAGGTATCCAGGCCCTGGCTGTGTGAGTGCTGGGGAGTCAGCCCCCCTCTGTGGTCCTGTTTTCCCGTGTCTGTGGTAAGTGGGGTGGTGTCTGAGCCCCCGGAGCTGCAGTCTTCTGCAGTGTCCTCTGTCACCCTGGAGGGTAGAGGAGGAGACCACAGCAACCAGGGCCAGAGGATGTGGTGTGACAGGCAGCTGTGATTTTTGGCCTGGCCACTGGGCCAGCAGGCTCTGCAGTTAGCTGCTGCCCCTGCTGAAGGAGGGTGGCGGCCTGGGCTGCTGGCAGCATGGTCATTAGCCCGGCACAGAAGACCCTGTGATTGGGAGCCTCCGGGGCCAGGCCAGGTTGGCAGGGCCGAGGCCAGGCTGGCTGGGCCACGGTGGGGTCATTGACAGGGCAGCCAACAGGGCAGCTCCGTCTCCTTCTTCTTTGCAGCCTCCAAGGTGGTAACAAGTGCTCACTGGGCACCAGAGCTTTGGAGGCCAAGGCTTGCCCTTTTTCCTGTTATAATAGTCACAGGAATAGAGTAGTGAGGCTTCTAGCCACGCCCGAAGATGCCACCTCCTAGAAGCTTCCATGACTCCTCCCAAGCAGGCGGAATCCGAGCCTCCTTCTCCCTCCCTCACTGACGATGGGCGGTGGAGGGGGGTGGTGTAGGTCTGCTTCCCTTGCCAGCCTGTCAGAACTAGATTCTCTGCCACTCCAGTTTTCCCCTCCTGACTGTCTGGCACAAAGTAGCACCCCCTTAGTCAGGGAAGGCAGTTCAAGCTGTTCCTTGGGCAAGCTGCTCAACCTCTGCACCTCTATTCCCTTCCCTATACAATGGGACCAATAATAACAGTACTGGGGGTGGTGCTAAATGAGATGATGAAATGAGGTGCCCAGCCAGGCCCGGCACACAGGCAGATGCTCCCATCAGCCTGAGTCTACTCACCTGTCCCCTCGGTGGCCCCGTAAAGAAGTGACTCGGAAAGAAGCTGATTGAAGAGTCCAGCCAGTGGTACCAGGAGGGAGGGTGTGGCAGGAGGACTCCTGGAGGAGGACACTTTGCTGCCTGGGGAAGACTCCGTGTCAGAGAGCTGGGATTCCCACGCCTTCCCAGTGTGCAGGCAGCTGTTAGACATGGAGGGCCTGGAGCCAAGTTCAGGACAGGGGGCAGCACCAGGATGGCCAGGGACCTGGTT